GCTGTGGCACTCGGAGCCGGAGTCCGCCAGCCCCCGGGGCGAGAGGGGCAGGCTGGCTGCCATCTGGTAGACCGGGTTCTGGAAGGAGAGGGGGGCTAAAAGCTGGGGCCGCCCGGGGGCGTTCTCGGCGTTGGGCGTGGTGGGCGTCTGCCCCGCCCGGCGCACAGTGGCCATGGCGGCGGCCATGCTGTTTGGCTGAGTCCGTGCGCTCCAGACGCCTGGGCCCGGCCCGGCGGAGGGCTGGCTCTCGTTCAGGACCTCGGCCGGCCCCGGGAGGGGGGGCCCGCCGTCCAGAATCCGATTGTCTTGCAAGTCCACCATGGAGAGGCTCTTGCTGCCGTTGGCCATCTGGACGTCCGGCTCATTGGCCTCCGAGTAGCTGGAGCTCCGGGCAGGCGAGGGCTGGGCCCCCCCCGCAGACCTTGTGACAAAAAACAAGTCCTTGTTTTCAGGGGTTGGAGACGGTAACCGGGTGAAATCTATCAGACTGTGGGGGAAATAAAAACGCGTAAGGAGAAGGAGAAGGAGAAGAAGAGGAAGCAGCAGCAGCAGCAGCAGCAAAAGACAACGAAGGAGAGAGAGAGAGAGGAGAGCGAGAGAGACGGCCGCCCAGGTCACAGGAGAGCCAACGAACCAGCGAGCAAGCAAACAAATGGGTACAAACCAAAAGCATCGTGGATGCTCGTGCGCGGGCATTGGAGCAATGCGCGGCCTGTGGGGATTTTGGGGGGGGTGAACCGTCCTACACCTTGCAGGGGGAGGAACCCTTCTTCTCCCTCCCAGCTGGCCTTCCATGTCTCCTTTGTCTTTCCCTCTTTTTTGATCATCCCTGTACCTCTCTTCCCCCCTCCCACCCGAATCTTCTCCTGGTGCTTTGGCCTTAACTGTAGACATGCATTCCGCCTCGCCTGACACCACCAGGACAGCGACCGGGAGCAAGGCTTGCTGGCATGTTAACCGGAAGTTAACATGACCTGTTAGTGGTTTCCAACCACAACCAGCACCTTGTTACAGAACAGGTGTTCTGTTATTCTTTCTTGTCATATATATCTCATGTTCTGTTTTAAACTTGAAAACAACATTCCCAAACTCCTGCCTCCCCACATTTCCTGCCCTGTGTTGTGGTCAAAGACCACAGGCCTTGTGGCTTGGAACCCACATTCTTCATTTTCAGGTTAAAAACAGAACAGCACCTCCCCACTCCAAGCTATGTTCCAATAATTAAAGGTACATGATAATCCTTAATGCCGTGATCGTGTGATTTGCTGTGATTTTGAAGCAACGTGTGTGTTTTGTTCAAAGCCTGGGGAGGCTTCCTCCCTTGTGCCCTCCCTCCAATTCAGCCCCCCCCCCCAAAATTAAGATTTATTGCTTGAAAAGCCTTCGAGATTGGCGGCTCCCTTTGAGAGGTGCACCCTTTTCTTGTGTCTGATTACAACCACAAGTGATTTTACAGAAACAGAGGTGGTGGTGGACAACTAGTTCTGGCTTTGTTTTTGTCTGGATAGTGGTGATGTGGTCCCCAGAATGTTGTCCCCTAGTTATTTAGGCGGATGTGAGGCTGGGGCATCCTTTAGCAATTCAGGCAAGAAGGTGGTATTCTTAAAAGTGCCTCTGTTTTTTGGCTGAATACTGCCAGGGTGTATTTCTCACGACAGGGTCGGGTGGGGGACAAAAGAGCCCACCTCATGCTCTTAGACCCCAGATCAAAGCCGGCTTGTTTTTACAAGGGTCGGGGCGGGTTGGGGGCGTGTGTTCCCAGCAATTCACCCCTGCATGGCATGTAGCTTCACCTCTCTCCTGCTCAGGAAAAGAAGACCTTTTGCCTGCCCCCACATTGTTCTCCCCTCTCTCCCTCGCCTCCTGTGTTCTCTCTCTCTCTCTCCTTCTCTCTCTTCTTCCTAATCAAAGTTTAATAAAACCTCCCACCACCACACCTGCCATCACAAACCCTCCTTGCATGACATCTCTCCCACTCTTTTTTGGCACCACAGTCCCCAAATCTTCCACCAGCAAGCGGGGGAAGAGAGCAGAATGGCCGAAGCTGGCAGACAGCCTCCCTCCGGCTTTGCCACGACTTGCCAGGGCTGCTGCCTCGGCCCCCCCTTGTCTCTTCGGGCGGGGGACTTCCCTGCCCGGCCCTCTCCCTCGTTCCTTCTGCTCCTCCTTACCCAGATAAGTCATTCTCGATCACCATCTTCTGCAGCCCCACCGAGATGCTGTTGCCGGCGTTTGGCGTCGAGGCGGCGTGGTCGGCCGTGACCGAGACCTGCACGCAGGCGGGGTTGCTGAGGGCTGTGTTGACGTCCCGGAGGATGCGTGGCAGAGGTCCGAGTTTTGTGGCGGTGGCCTGCAATGGGGAGGCAAATGTGGGAAATTAACCTCTGGGTCTCATCTGGACACGTGGGAACACAGAACAGAAGGCCCCGGGGGGGGGGTGCAAAAAAAAAGGGAGGGGAAAGACAGAGGTCCTTTTCTGGACCACCGGTCACAGCAGGGGCAGCCTATGTCCAGTGGTGGTTGAAATGCACCATGGGGAGGGAGGCACCCTGACCATGCTACGGGGGCAGGAAGAGCAATCTGTGCATGCACAGCGCCACAAAAAGGAGGCACGTCCGAAGTCCTTGGAATAGCTTTGCTAGGAAAGCAGAGGGAACGCGATGGTTTGGGTGGGTTGCTCGTTCCTCCCTCCCCCACATTTCGCGACACATACACCGGGAAGCAAGGTCACCTTGCAGCTAACTCCCTGGTCAGACCAATAAAGCGGAGGCTTGTGATTTTAGATCGCAGCCACTTGCGATTCTAAGTATGCGGTTCCATGCAGACAGTTGGCCCTTAGTGAGCTATTACGTTCTTCTTATCAATCGTTTTAATAACAACAAACTGGAGGTATTTAATCTGCTGCTTTTCTCTTTGCTGTGTATTAGATTAAATTTCTCGCTTATGATATACCTTGCGCCTGCTTGGACGCCTAAGACAACGGAGGGCTTTTATTTAATTTCCCAGCGTATGTGAGTCTTCTTCCTCTCTTTCTGGAGGGTTACCTTACCTGGTCCAGCTGAGCCACAACCTCCCAGAGCAGTGAGTGCAAGGTGGAGAGCTCCCGGCCCAGATCGATGTAGCCTTCAAAGCCGGCGGTGTTGGAAAGTGTCTCCGGATTGGAGATCTCCAGCAGGAACCTCTGCATGTTGGTCCATTCGTGCTCCAGGAACTGGTTCATGAAGGACATGTACTCTTCTTTACTGCCGAACCTGTGGGGGCAAGCAAAGGAGAAGTCTCAGAAATACAGCCTCCACACCGAAGGAAAGGCACGGGGGGCAGGGGAATTGGAGGGGCGAGGGTGGAGATCAAGAACTCATTAGCCGGAGTGTGGATGTCCGACGACGGCTGTGGTGCATCTCCCTTCAAAACCCAGAGGTCAACGCTTCTAACGAGCATTTGATGGCTTCCTCAAATGAGGATCATTAAAAGGTTCTTTCGCCTGCAACGCCTCCCTCCCCCATCCCGTCAAAGGGCAAGCTGCAAAGACTTTCGCCTCTGCAAACGGAACTATAGGACCGGGAAAGTTACTGTTTTGGTTTTTCAAATTCAAGGTTCTATTCCAGTTGGAACTAGCAACTGGCTTTAGATAAGGGAAGTTATCACGCAGCCATACAAATGGGAAATTCCTATTAAAAATGCCTGGAAAAGGCCCTCAAAATATAACCTTAAATTATAGATTGTTTGTTACACAGATAAGAGGAACTTTATTCCCACTTGTTAACATTACTTTTGTACTACACCTTTGATAGGCCTGACTACGGAGCAGGATAATTTATTCAGTATATTATTTATACTTCATTTTTGCTAAGCTTTAAAGGAAGCCTTCCAGGAACCTTGATTCTCTGATGACATATTTCATATATGGACAAAACTAGCTTGTACATGTATTAAAATACGGCTTTCTGCGAGATGCTACATATTGGTGGCACAAAAGACACAGGTCAACCTCTGCCCTCCACCCCCAATCATTTCATTGCAGTTTGGAAGCTCAGCAGGGTCCATTTTGGTGACTTCTTGGATGGGATTCTGTCAGGTATCGAGAATATACCCAGGTAACACTAGGAAAAAGAAAATACTTCCCAGAACTCTGGAGAGCCATGGTCACCGGGAGAATAGCATGGATACAGCTACAAGATTTATCTTTTAAACACAGCATTTTTGAAAGCCACCTCAGTCCTTGGGCTGGATTATAAGGAAGGGCATAAAGGAACTGAATGGCTGATGAGTTAATGAATGTGGAGATGAGGAAGGAGACGAATTTCGCAGAGCGCTCTGAAGCCGGCTAGGAGGGACCCCGACAGCTTTGCTCCTGGGATGAGATGATGATTCCGCTTTCACCACAAAGATTCCAGAGGCAAAGGTGAAAGCTTGGGGATGGGGAGCCAACAACGGTGGGGTTCGCGGCAGCAGAGACAGGCGGATCCTGTCAAGTTGCGTGACACGGCTGCCTGTCTCTTTGGGCTCAAGCCGGCCCTTGCCTTAAGACGCTTTCCATCTGCAAATTCTCTCCCTGCCTTTCGGAAATCTCGTGGCGGCTGCCTCCTACTCCTCTGTATTTTAATATATGTTTTTGAATAAGCAGCTCAGCTCCTGAGCCCAGCCGGCGGAGAGATTTCTCAAAATCTCCTTTCTTTGTTTTCCCCAAAAACCCCTGGGCTTAGTTTAGAAAAGTGACAGCATGGACGGTTTTTCTAGAATTGATCCTCTTGGTTTCAAGGGTTTTAAAAACTCATAACTGGGACAGACAGGTTTGTGTGTCGAGCGAGGCAGGAAGGGAAGAGAAGACGGGGCTGAAGCTAAACTCTGGGTACAAAGTATTCCCTCAGCCAAAGCATCAAGGACCACAAGGCCTTTGCTGGCTGGGGTTTATGGGAACTGGGACTCAAAGCGTCTCAAGGGACTTGGATTTGCTGCCATCAGTAGATGGAGTTCAGAGCATTAAAAGGCTCCCTTTGGGGACTACAAAGCCCCAGACCCCGTCCGTCCTTCAGCCAGTATGGCCAGCTAGGCACTTTTCCTAACTATAGTGGTGCCTCGCATTGCGACATTAATTTGCTCCACAAAAATCGCTGTTGAATGAAAGCGTCGCTATGCGATATTAAAAAGCCCATAGAAACGCATTAAAACCCGATTAATGCGTTCCTAGTGGCTTAAAACTCACCGTTCAGTGAAGATCCTCCATAACATGGCCATTTTCGGTGCCTTTTAAGCGAAGAATCCGTCCCAGAAAACAGTGGGGGGCCATTTTGTTTACCTGGCGGCCATTTTGAAACCGCTGATCAGCTGTGTGAAAATGGTTGCTTTGCGATGATCGGTTCCCGAAGCAGGGAACCGATCATCACAAAAAGATATTCCCCCATAGGGAACATCGCAAAGCGATCGCAAAAAGTTCGTCGCAAAGCTATTTCGTCGCTAAATGGAGCGCTCGCTAAGCGAGGCACCACTGTATTTTGCAGGTGTGCACAGAGTTCACATCTATGTACAGAAAAGTTAGTGAATGTGTTAATTGCTCGCTAAGCAAGGCACCACTGTATTTTACAGGTGTGCACAGACTTCACATCTATGTACAGAAAAGTTAATGAATATGTTAATAATAATCACTGTGTGTCTTCAAGTCAGTTCTGATTTATGGTGATCCTTTTCAAGCTTTTCCAGATAGAGAGTAATTAGAAGTGGTTGACCCTTCCCTTCTTCTGGAGGAGCCCGGGGCCTGTGCAGCTTGCCCCAGGCCACCAAAGCTGGCTCCTCTCCACAGCCAAAAAAACCCTAAGATGTGTTACTGAATGCAAAAATCCATCTACCTGCAAACGTCAGTTCATTGGCAAATAAAGATTTAAGCAAAATAAAGCATCCAGCCATTTTGCCTGAGCCATAAGAGGGCCCAGGAGCCTTTTCTGACCCCCTAAGGCCAGCACCCTGCCAAGCTCCTCTGCCCCTTAACTGGTCAACAGGAAACAGGAAAGGTTTACTTGGCAAAGTTGGCCAGGTTCTGCGTGACCTTGGCAATCAGGGTCAGGGTCCGGGCTGTGCGGTCGTCTGGGTATTCCTGGAGCAGGCTGAAGAGTGACGGGGACATGATGGCAGGGCAGAGGAAGCGCAGGAAGAGGGAGGCGCTGATGAGGCGCTCGCTGATGTCGGGGCGCCCACGGTTGCTGCACTCCTGCCGCCACGAAGCAAAGACTTCCTTCAGCTCCCGTGGGAAGACGCTGGAAAAGCAGGCAACAGAAGAAGTGGGTATGAGGACCCTTCCCTCCCCTCCATTGATTGATTGCGCCACTATCCGTCCTTGCCTTCAATAAGCTCAAGGAGCTTAACCAGGCTCTCCCTGCTCCCTGATTATCCCTCTTGCAAGGTAGGCCACATACAGTGAGAGAGCAGACTATCTCAAAGTCACCTTGTTGGTTTTATGGGCCATGGGCCTGACGTACATCCAGGACCTAAAGCACCTTGGCATCTTTCTCCTTTGTTCGTTTGTTTATTTGGTTGGTGGTGTTGCGTTTTAAGCTGGAGTAGACAAAATCTAGCCCCAGAGATGTTATGGGACTGTAGCTTCCGGCATGCCTCAAGACCGGCTCACGAGTGGCAGTTCAACAGCCTCTTGGGGACCCGTTGTTTGGCTCCCCCCCCCAGCTAAAAAGGCACCTAAAAATGATTTTAAATAGAAGAAAGGCCACTTTGTGTGTGTGTATGTATGTAATATCAATCAATCAATGGCTCAAAACTAGCAATTTTGATGTCGTAGAATCCCATTGCTTTGCTTCCAATTTCTCCCCTCTCTAAAAATCAGTTTGCTAGAAGGTCGAATGGTTTTTCTGCAGCTGGAGGAGAGACGAGAACCCAGCAGAAAACCACCAGGCAACAGCACTAATTTTGGAACAGAAGAGAGAGGCAGAATCCACCCAATGGGGCTCGCAACAATGAGGGCCCAATCCGCCAGCTGGCTCCCTAGCAACAGGGTTCCTTGCCTTTAATAGACAACACACACATATACACAGACACAGACACACACACACAAAAGCCCTCCAGCTGTCCAAACAATGTGACAAATCATGACCGCCTTATTTTTAGCTTCCGCTCGCTGCAAAAGCCTTCTTCCGGCAAAGCCTCTCTCCAAACAGCCCTGCTCCAACCCACAAGACGCTCTTGGCAGTGGGCAACATGCAGCCTTCCAGGCATTCTTGGACTACTTCTCCCAACATTCCTCGCCCAGGGCTGGGGGTGATGGGAGTTGGAGTCCACTAACCACTGGAGGGCTTTGCTGGGCTCTCCCACTGCTTCCTGTAGGCAAGTCTGCTTCTTACCCCTTTTGATGTCTGCTTGGGATGCTGGGGAAAGGAAATCTGGCCTGCCTTTATAGTATTGTTGCAAAGACCAACGATATAAAATACTGCAAAAGCATAAAATAGACAAGGGCAAGTATTCGGGTATTTCTGGATCAGTCCCTCTATCTGACTGGCAATTAGTTAAATAAATTCTAAGCAATCAGTCATCCTCACTGGTGGCATTTGTAGGTACTACATTATGCTTTTAGACTGACTGACTGACTGATTGATTGATTGGTTGGTTGGCTGATTGACTGATTGATTGACTTGGGAATCTTTTTAGGCACTGTTAACGTCTTTTTTCCCATGGATTGATCTATCCAATTCATTGACAAAACATTACAGCTCTTAGATAACAGCATCATAATAACACTGAGATGAGGTGGAAGGAAGGGTATTGCTTCTGCCTCCCTGGCCCTATCTGGCCTTCTCAGCCCCCAAAATGAGGACCAACGCATCCACTAGCCTGTTTCCAGCTAGAATTTTTCCACAAATTGCTGGGGTTTTCTTTTAAGCCATTTGGCGACAGCACAACCCATCGTCTATAAAAAGGAACGCACACGTCTCACAAGGCCTGAACAAAATTGGGTCCATATTTTTCCTGGATGGCCCAAGAGTTCTGCCATTCGGTATACAAGACTGAAAGCAGAGTAGATTGTCAAGATGAACCCCTGAAAGGTGGCACACACACACACACACACCCATCCTGTGGGCAAAGGGCAGCACCACATCTCAAACACAACCGCCACAACCTCACTGCAGAGGCAGAAGGGTAGAGGAAAGGTCCTCCCCCTATGGAACCCCCCATTTCTGTGAACCCGCCTCCCCACAGGGCCGCCAGGTGCTGACCAGTAAGAGTTAATGATTTTGCAGAAGGCCAGTTCGCAGCACATCTTCAAGTTGCTCTGATGCTCGGGAAGGTCCGAGGAGGAGCATTTGCCTGGATCCACCTCACAGTTTTCATCCGATTCGTAGAGAGCCTTGATAAACTCGCCTGAGAGGGTGAGAGAGGAAGCTTCTGGTTAGGGCTGTATTCCGAATACAGTGTGGAGTGCAAAGGAGAAGCTCAAGATGTGGGGACTCCCTGACCGCCGTGCAGGTTCCCTGGCTCTTCCAGTGGACACCCTCTCCTCGTCCTCCTGCTGCATGTGGGGCTCCCAGACCCACGTCCAAGCAGCCACTGGGGAAAGTCGGGGCTTTAAGTCCAACCGATCTAAGCCAGGCCCTGGATGCAGCACCCCTAGCAGTGGCACGCAAGCTTTCCGGAGGGAGCCCAGAAGCTGGGGAAATTATTTTTCACGGTTACGCCTCCTGGGCTCCCGAAGCAATGCTAGCTGCTGGGATGCGGGTGAGGCCGTCCCGAAAAGCCCCCTTTTCCAGTCCTGAACAGCAGCCGAGCCCCCGCACCTACCTAAGGCATCCTGCAAGTACTTTTGCCCCACCAGCTTCAGGTACTCCTCGATCGCCTTGGTGGCGAGGGTGTTCTCCCGGAAAATGAGGTGCTCGTTTTCTCCGCAGCGGTCTACCTCGGACATCATGAGGTCAGTCAAGAAGTCCTAGGGGTGGGGTGGGGGGGAGGAGAGGGTGTCATGAAGGGCACATCGCAAAACAGAAGAGTCCACCATGAGACATTCCCCCCTTTCCTCAGAACGGATGCAGTTTCTGCATCTCTCACAAACAGGGTGAAATACAGATGTTGACGACACTGGAATAGGGACCACTGAATGGACTGGAGCGTCAAAGTCAACCATCACCAAGGCGCATGTTCACTGTCCCATGAGCTTCATCTAAACAAAACATGCCGTTGTTCCTGTTGTTCTTACGATGTTGTTGTTGCTACTTTGGCGAGCCATGTGGCAAACACAGGCCCATTCTCCCTGGCCCACTTTGGCCATGTTTCTGAGTTTGCCCTGGCAAACTAGAGGGCCGCTTAATTGATGGGCATTCAAATCTCGCCTGAATGGATGGCAGAGGTCCCCTGTAACAAATACCCCCCCAAAAAACCCTCTCCCAATCTCTCGGACGATCTTCCTTGCATCTCAGTCACTCCTGTTTTACTCTGTAGGTGGATTATAACGGCATTCACACATGCTGTGCAAAGACCTGGCATTTGCAGCCCACCTCCAGCCGTTACCACATTTCATCCTCTCTGACGCATCCCATCCACTCGGAAGCAGCTGTAGCTGCTGGATGGGGATTTCATCTGTTCTGCCCCTTGGCCTACCTTGTCCTCTCGCTTTCCTGGCCAAAAAACCCTCCCTCTGACAAGACCGTCCAAAACCCCGGGTTGGAGGAGTAGCTGTAAAACTCACTGTTCCCAAGATAATTAGTATGTCGGGGAAGTGACAGGAGCGCCTCGCCAGGCAAAAGCAAGGTCGGCCGCTGCTAATTAAGAATCTTCACCTTTCATCAGGCTCCGGCGCTGATCGGAATTGAAATGTACACGGGGTGGCGGGGGGGGGAGAAGGAGGCGATCGCTCGTGGGAGATGAGATAAGGGAAGAGGGGCTGCCGGCTGCCCAGTCAAGAGGCAGAAAAATCTGGGCATGAATTCCTGTTTTCGGCAGAACTGCAAAACCTGCAAGCACACTGCCTTTTAAGTTACAAAGTGTCACAGAATGGTGGGAGGGACAGACAGATCGGTGGGTCATCTAGTCTGACCCCCTTTTAAAAAAAAGAGAGAGAAAAAACTACTGCTCTCCAAATAGTCACCACCTTTATACTCCATATGAAGAGGATATATCTACCACATATCTTCTCGCCAGGGCTTGGAAAAGCTATCTTTTTAGACTACATCTCCCATTCCATTGGCTATGCTGATTAGACCATGGGCATTATAATACAACCCTACCCTCCCTCTTGCAGTATTTCTTTGATTTTCCTGCGGAATGGTTCCTTTTTATTTATTTATTTGCTAGTCCTTTATTAATGCTTTCAGCTATGTGTGTATTTTTTTTTTTAAATAAACCTACTACATTAAACGGCTTGCTCTAATTCCTGTCATTAAGCCAGCATGGAAGCCAAAGAAGTGGGGCAGAAATGTCTGGCATGGATTATTATTCCACCCACCACCAACATCACCACCACTTAAAAAAAAAAAGCCTGCATTATGAGGTGCATGCAAGTCACAGTCACCTTTCTTCTCAAAGGCCTCTATTCCACTCCCACCGAGGAGGGGGCCGGGCTGCTTATGACGGGATCGTGCCCTGGGGGGTGTGTGGAACCCCTCCATCTTCCTTCCTGCCTCCTCTGAAGCAACACTGCCCAAACAGGAGGGAGAAGAGACGGGGACCACTTTGGACGACGTCTTTCTAGGCCAGGCGACTGCCTCTGGGAGCTTAACGAGGATCTGCAAACTTGGCAGGTTTTCTAAGTGGTGGAGCCGTGAGCGAGGGAAAAGCTCATTAGCACTTAGAGCGGCGTTGAGGGTTTGCCTGCATCCGTGTGTTTGTCTCCCAGCCCCTGACAGATGATCAGGTTCCTGAGGAAGGCTGGAAAGCAAGGTCTTTCCCCCAAACCCTTTAATTCCACCCCTTTATTAACCTGGCTGCAGTGAACAAATATCTCAGCCAACGCTAGGGTTCTCTGGCAGCGATCTTGGAGGCGATGCACACTGGGGAGACGGGATGGGGGAACCCTCTTTTGTTTCCACCACATGTGTCTTAAGAAATCATGAAGGGGCTGGAAGGATGCTGACCCCTGTCTGTGTATTTACTTCTTGGTTCCATTATATTTCTCCCCCACCCCAAGTGTTTTCCAGAGAGCCTCTTCTCTTCCCAAAGGGATCTCCCCAACAACAGCCCTCTGAGGTCAGCCAGGCTGGGAGGAGGAGAGAGGGACTCATCCACTTCATGAATTTCCATGGCGGATGGGGGCTTGAATCCAGAGCTCCAGACCAAGAGGCCGGCAAAACCACCGAGGTCCATGCCGGCTGGCGATGGACAAGACTAAAGAGGCTCGGCCTCAAAACTCTGGTGGGCCACACCACCATGGAAACAAAACCAAACCTATCAAAAACCATGACAACAATGGCAAGGCATTTTATTTCTCCAAAAATGCCTTGCAAACAGCGTGGATCCTGGCTGCCCCCCCTCCCATTGCCACAATCGCCCCCTGCTCTCCTGCTTGGCAATCGTAAAAAGATGTGTATGTGGGGCAGGATGGGGTACGCTTGTAAAGACACCCTTGCCTGAGAAGCAGGGATCGGACCAGATGGAAGGCGCCTTCCCTGCTCCAGCCACCCTCCACGGCTGCCTTAACTGACAGGGAACAGACCGGCTTTGAAGTAATCAGGTTTTCACTCCTCCTCATTAACAACAATCCTGATGAATTGGATTGACCCAGCCTTAAGAGGCTTTCATTGTTAAAAGCAATGAGGTTAATGCCTATTTCAAATATCAGGGAGGAGGAGGGGGTGCATCCTCTGGGGTGGCCTGGTGGGGAGGAAGGGGGCCATTATCCACCCAAAGTGGCCCCCAGTGGGTCTTGAAAGGTCATCCAGCTGTCACCCTCCTAGCAACCACCCTCTTGGGATCAAAGTCCGTGAAAGATTTACCATCCAAGGGGGCCTGTCTGGTAGGAGGAGGCTGAGACAGGAGGCTTCCTCCTGGACCTGCGGAGGCAAAAAAAAAAGGTGCCCCCCCCATAAAACCCGACTGCCGGTCCCAGAAGACTGAGAGCGCCTCAGTGCAAGCCCCATTCCTTCCCTGGAGGCTGCGCCAACGCCACCTTGGAGTGGGGAAGCTTCGGCTGCTCCTTGACGAAAAAGGACCGATAGGAGACCAAATAGCTCTAAAGAGGGATGCTCAGAAACGCCTCCTCGTGTACAAGACAAGACGGTTTGCAACAGGGCGGAGGCGGTGGAGGGGAAGCGACGAGAAGGGGTGCGTGCGTGCCTGCGCTTATCTCTGGAGCTGCCACTCATCCCTTCGCACCCTCTTCAAACAACATAATTACTGCCGAGAGGAAGGGGAGAGCTCGTTTGTGTGTTGCACACTCATAAAATTGATTAAAGTCATAATTAGCTGGACTAACGGCTCTTATAAAAAACATTATCAGATCGTTTGTCTCTTCGGGAGGGCGGAGGGAACAACACGGCAGGCGGGCGGCGTGGGCGCGACTGACACCAGGGGGGAGCCGAGTCACCGCTGGGGCTCCACGAGGGGAGGGAGAGCGAAGCAGCTGACCCGCCGGGAGACTCTCTGAGCGACACACGCCGCCCTCCCCCAAACAGCCCTTGTATGTTGGAGGCAGCCAAGGGGCAGCTCTGGAGAGCCTCAGATGGACGGGGTGGGCTAAGCCTGAACCGAGCTGGTTGTCACAACTAGAGTAGACCCACAAACTCAATGGAATCTACCTAGGTGCTTACGCTGCCCAAACGGTATATAAGCTGTACGCTTTTGCTTTGCCTCGCAGTGCAACCACCGTAACGATGGTTAAAGGACAGTCGTACTGCTTCCAGTTGTCAGGTGACACATGGGGGCCAATCAGGGTCTTCCAAGCGCTATAAAATCTTCTACCTGTGTCTTTCGTCCTCCAGTTGGAGCAAGGGTTCATTAGGTTGCTGACCTGCCTGCTTCCTGCCCCACACCTCTAAAATAATCCTAGAGGCTCAAAGCAGCAACAAAGCTGTCAGTGACGGGTGGCCTATATATATTCTTCTTGGGGGAAAGGGGACTTTTTGGTTCCATTGAGGTGGCACTGAGACTGTCAGCAGAGTAAGTACTGAACACAAGATACCAAAAAATGTAAGGATGACCGTTGGTTCCATTGAGGTGGCACTGAGACTGTAAGAATGACCAGACCCTGTCAGGTGGCAAGGGAGCTGGGGAAGTCCACACTTCCATGAAACAAGGGCCTGGTGAGACCTCCCAATGCCAGGCAATGAGGTTTCCCCTGGGGCTGGAACACCCAGAGGGGACGGGCTCGGCCTGCCGCTCTACACAGGAGCCTTACCTTGGCCTTTCCAGTGCTCTGAAGGATGTGGACGAGGGCCGACGCCATCTCCTCTTTGTTCTTGACGCTGAGCACCGGCTCCAGGACCGAACAGAGCACCATGTAGTTATTGGTGATGTACTCCGCAAACTCCTTGTACATCTCCATGGGGAGGATGCTCATGCTTTGGTAGCGCGACTTGATGCGGATCATGGGGCCCCCGGACTTGCCCTTGCTGGGGTTGGGCGTCACCACCGGGTACCACTTCTCCACAAACTGCCGGCCCGTGACAGAGCCCGCCGGGATGTTGACCAAGCCAATGAAGTTGGTCTTGTCCTTCTTCTTCTTCTTCTCCGTCTCCTTGTACAAGTGGATGGTGATGCTCCGGAGAGAAGGGAGGTTGTTGAACTCAAAGTGCTCCCCCCAGAAGACATTGTCCGTTTTCAACTTGCAGGTGGTCCGTGCGTACAGGACCTCGTCCAGGCAGAGTTCACACAAATATTTCTTTTTGGCGGGCAGGTCTTTTGCTTCGATTATCCAGAGCTTGAGCATGTTCTCGACTCGCCGACTGTTGTCTTGGGCGAGAGAGACACAGACAGCACAACAAAAAAGTTCAAGAGGTAGTTGTGTGTATGTGTGTGTGTGTGTGTGTGTGAAAGAGAGAGAGAGAGAAATCATTACCCAGTGGGGGCGGGAATGGAACAATGAATGGCTTAATTATTGGAAGTCACTAGAACAGAAACTGACTCTTAATTACATTTTTACTTTAAGGAAATTACGGGCTCTTGGGAATTTGCATAATAACCTCTGCTTATGTTCGTTTTCCAAATATCATGGTGCTTTCTCATCTCCCTGGCTCCAATTACAAGAAAGGCTAATAGTGTGTGCGTGCAAACACAGTGCACACATGCCTACATTCTGGCACCACTTGAAATAAATAGATAAATGAATAAAATTGCGCCATTTCTGATTTTGCTGCCAGATGAGTCGCGAAATGGAAATAAGAAAAACTGTAGCGAAGATGTGGGCACACGCAGGACGCAACCGTGCTTTCCTCCCTGCCCAGTCCAAGGAAGAAATGGATTCAATCCATCAGCTGTGCAATCCAACAGTAAAAAGGTGCATTTCGTCATAAACCTGGAGCTTATTATATCGCTGGGGCTCTTCAGCAGAAATAGAATGAGGTCCTCAGTCTTATAAACGCTTACCTGGGAGACAGGCCCATGAAGCTCCACAGACCCAGCTTCTGAGTTAGAAACATACCACTTGGCTACAGCCAGGCCTGTTTTACTCGGGAGCAAGCCCAAAGAAACTCAAGAGGAACTTTCAGAGTAAACATGAATGAGATCAGGCTGGTAATTCAATTAAAAGCACATTTAAAGTGTGATAATATTTAATGTGCTTAATTTGCTTCATACCGTAAGGCTCTGTGATGATAAAACGTAATATTTATGTCCTTTTAAATGGTACCACGGTCTTTTTTTTCCAGGTATGAAGGTGTTTTTTTTTTCAAAAGCAGTTGTCTTATTAATGAGTCATTAACGGATTGTACATAAATTTGGCAGCTATTGTTGTCCTTGAAAAACCAACTGCTGGGTGTCTTTCAACATCTCCGCTCTCCCTTTTTCCTATATTCTCTTTCCCCATCCCCATCTGCAGAGAGAAAGACTGGGAACTACAGGAGGCAGAATGAAGGTTGTCTTGGGGCAACTACAACTCCCAGAATCCCATGGCCTGAGGGGGGGTAGAACGAGGCAATGGTGGTGGAGGAAGGATTCTGGGAGTTGAAGTGTGAAGAGACCCTTCCTTGTTCCTGGAAGAGAGCAGCAGAGCCAGCGTCACGAGAGAGCTTCCAAGGGCGCGCGGGACATACCTTGTTTGGGTGTACGGCGCGCCGCAGGTTCTCCATCCACTTGTCCCGTTCGGCTGCCGACCGGCAAGAAAAGCATTTGCTGCCGGATGAAGTTGTCACCTGCAAGAGAGGGGGGAAATAAAGATCGGTGGCCTTAGGGCGAACCTTTTCCCCACCTCCAACTTGCCCCCTTCAGGAGGCAGCAACCCTCCCAGTAAGGAGAAAGTATTGCCACAAAGCACTCACTTAGGGGTGCTGGAACTCCTCCCAGCACTACAGACCTGCCTTGGGGGGGGGGACTGGGAGCCTTCATTCTCTAGATGGTTGCCTTTATGCGCACTTCCTTTCCTTGGGAAGCTTGAGGTGGCATCCATGGTTCACCTATTCCCTCCTTCATCCACACAACAACCCAGTAAAGTAGGTCAGGGTGAGAGAGCCAACGACTGATGCTCAAAGCCACCCATTTCATTTCAAGGCTGAGCAGCAGAGATTTGAACTCAGACCTCCTGGAGTCTTATGCCATCACTCTGATATCTACTGCACCACCCCGGCTCTCCTTTCGTATGTCCTTCAGGACTCGCTTCTCGCAAATGACACACTTGTCCCTTAGCATGTGCTCATTTTGTCTCTGTCAAAAAAATGTTAATAAGGAGAAAATGGCAGATCGATCCAGAGATTCTTCTTCAACTGGGCCCTTCCCAGGAGTCCGTGAAAGAAAAGAGGAGAACGCCCAGTTTGAGGGGCTTGGGAAAGAAAATGCATTTCCTGAGCCAGGAGAAATGGGCCACCCCGATATCAGGAGAGACGGTTCCTGCCTTTCTGGGTGCTTTGCGCCCATGGAGAATGGGGGCAACGTGGAGGTGCACGTGAGCGCAAAAATGTGAGCATGACAAGGAAGCGACGATTTCCGGAGCCGAGGCAGCACCCTAATCAAAACGGCTCTTTCTCAAAAAAAGAGAGGGTGCGAGAAATAAAAATTTCTGGAGCAAAATTCCTATGCATGTGTGTGTGTGTGAAGCGGGAGATCATTAGTTAAATGTAACTCACTTCCCCTCATTATCCTTGTTCCATGGATGGGTAGCTTCCTCCGTCAGGCAGAATGATCCTGCCTGGTTCGTTCTCTGCGGAAGACGGGGTGGCTCCTGCTGGGTGAGGCTCCGGGGACGCGGGAAGGGGCTGCTTCAGCCCAACCTAAATAGTGCCGCGCAGAGCCCAAGTTCTCTCAAGGATAGTGGGGAGGGGGTGCCCCCAGAGTGGGGGGAGAGGCAGAAGCGGCAGGGACTGCTATGAGGGGAGACAGGAAGTCACCTCTGCCCGTTGGGGAAGGCAGAGAAGAGGAGGTGGCAAAAGGGGTCTGGAGGCGAAGCCCTACGAGGAGATGGCTCCACTTGGCCTGGAGAGGAAAGCCTAAGAAAGCCACCTTCCGATAATCTGGAGGAAGAGGACGCCGGCTCGTTCTTTTCTTCTCCGGACAAGAGAACCAAAACCTGTGGATTCAAATGGCTGGAAACTGGATTCTGACAAAATACAGTTGTGCCCTGCCGGACGATTACCCCGCTCTACGATGAATCCGCATTACGTTGACATTTTTGCGATCGCTTTTGTGATAGCAAAACAATGGTTTAAATGGGGGAATTTCGCTTAGCGATGATCCGTTCCCTGCTTTGGAAACCGATCTTCGCTTTACGATGATCAGCAAACAGCTGATCGTCGGGTTTCAAAATGGCCGCCGGCTGAAGAAAATGGCCCCCCACTGTTTTCTAGGATGGATTCCTCGCTTTACAGGAACTGAAAATGGCCGCCGTATGGAGGATGTTCGCTGGACGAGCAGGTATTCAGCCCATTGGAACACATTGAACGGTTTTCAATGCGTTTCAATGGGGTTTTAAAATTTTGTTTGACGATGTTTTCGCTCTACAGCGATTTCGCTCGAACGAATTAACATCGTCAAGCGAGGCACCACTGTATGAGGGAGAATTTCCTGAGGACCAAAGCTGTTTGATGGGGAAATGGACCATCTTAATAGATGGCGGAAACCCTCCATCATAGGGAGATCTCTATCGAGAGACAGGATGATCAGGGATCCTTTAGCTTTTTAAGGTTTCTTTTATTAGCAGAAGGTTAGACTAGATTATCTTTCCCGCACCCCTTTGCAACACTACAGTTCTGTGATTCTGTTCAATGAACTGAATATAGGTTTCTGAAAGATCAAGCTTCTAGCCCTCATGGATGATAAATGTCTGCTGAAATCTCTGAAGCCAAGGAGGGCGGCTGGTCTTGCCGTGGTTGAGCTCAAGCTGCTCCGCAGTATTATAATTTTTATTTTTGGAAGTGGGGGGGGGATTATGCAAAGCAGTACAAATTATTCAAGACAGGAGACAGCAGGCACGTTTGAATAATTTATAATTTATATTGGTCATAGAAATTCAGCTTTCTTTGGATTAACGTGACATAGGATTTTAATTATTTTACAGGAGAGAACACACAGCCCCGAGCCACATCTCCTCAAACCAAAGTTTTGAAGACGGAAAGGACAGAGATTTACCACCCCAGCCCCCTTGGCAAGATGGATAAATTATGCAAATCGGAACATATACATCTATTTATTTTGCATAATTCCGAGGTTGCCGTGGACACAACACAGGGAACCAACATTTTACCTACTGGATTTTGTAAGACAAAAATATCAGCTTTCCCAACCTTTCTTCTTTCCAAAGGCCCTGCCCTCCCCATGCATAACCCAGATCAATTAACATCAGTTGCCCCTTCCTGGTGTTAAGGCTACCATCAACGATATGAGCTGGAATCTCTAGTCCTAAATGCATATTTAAAAGGCAGCTGGTGGGGTGGGGGTGAAAATGGCATCGTATTTATAATAACGGACATTAAAGGGGAAAGCAAACTAATTGTCTTTCGGCATGACATTCATGTGTTTTAATATTTCATATTAAACATGTTTTAATATTTTATCTACTGCAGTTATTTTAGTTGTCTTGTGCCATGACGTTTTTACGACGTGCCCCCACCCCCCACCCCAATTCCAGGGAGATGAAGGGAACAATATAAATATTTAAAACAAATAAAATAGCCTATTTTTAAGTACAGGGTCTTAAGATTTCAGCAGGCACCAGGCTGGCCTAAACCACCCCCAGGATCTTGCTACAACCTTAAGGACTAGAGGCTTATATTTCGAAAAACAACAAGACTCTGGAAAATGCTGTGAGATGCTCACAGCATCCACCTGTGACTTTGAGGCAGAGAAGGGAACACAGTGGCGGCAGGCTGTGCCCCAGCACTCTCCTTCTCGGCCCCCAGCACCCATTCTGCCTCCACCTCCTATCTCTGTGCTTTGGCAGGTCAGCTCAGCCACCGCCTCCTGCCCAAGATTGTTTTCCAGGATGTCAGTTCAGTTTTCCCTCTTCTCGAGGCTTTCTCATGAATGCAAGATTGTCACATCTCCTGACTGCCATTTCGTCCGTCTTCCCGTTTTTTCTCCCGCCAGCCTGGTTCTCGGAATGCTAATCCATGGCGAGGCTGGCAGCTTTCTCCCCTTGCGCTAAGCTTGCCTGACATCCTTTGCTAAACCACATCTCTGCAGGCAGACGATACGACCATCTGACAGGAGACTGTGGAGGCTTTGGACTTGGGCATGTTCAAGCGCTGTGTTTTTCTTTGAGAACCTCAAAGACTCCACTAGGGATGGGCACAAACCGGTTCGTCCCAGTTTGCCCTCATAAAGGTGGCAGCACAGGGGCTGATATTCCCCTCCCCTGCCTCCACTGGCGCAAAGAGCCACTCACCAGGCGCAGCTTGATTGCCTTTTCCCATCTCCAGGGCTAATCTCCCAGTCAGGGTCAAGAGCCCAGGCTTCTCTGCCCTGCCCTTTCGCCTGAGTGGGAGATCAGCCAAGCCTGGGCTACTGCCAGGACTGGAAGATCAGTTGAGGAGGTGCCAAAAGCTGGCACACTAGACCTGGTGAGTGGCTGATTGAGCCAGAGGAGGTGAGGGAGGGAAACAGCAGCACCTATCTTGCTGTCTTCACGAATAGGGGCAAACTGGGACGAACCGGTTCATGCCCATCTCGAGACTCCACAATGCCCATAAATCAATTACTCAACGGCAGCCTCAAGAAACAGGGCAGCCAAAGAAAGACCCTGATCCAGAGAAAACATTAGGCAAGGAACTGTCAGTCTGAAGACGTAGAAGCCATATATTCTACAAGTTTCCTTTTGGAAACTTCAGTGGCGCCAAAACGCTGCAGTTAGGTCACTGACCAGAACTGGCTATAATTCAAAGTGCTGCTTAAGATGTACATAATACCCTATAAGAATCGGGGCCGAGGCCCTGTCAAACACCATGCTCCACAACATGAGCCTTCCTCGGTTTTCAGCTTTTCAAGAGTGGCTCCTTCTCAGCCCTAAGACACTCAGGCACGTTCTGTGACGGCCTTCTTGGTAGCTGCTTGGAGGCTGTGGAACTCACTGCCCCATGGATCTTCTGCCAGCAAGCAAGGACTCCTCTTAGATAGTTATATGATAGGCTCATATGGTGGCATACAGCTGAAAGAGTTTTACATGTGTGTGTGTGTTGAATCTGTATTAAAAAAACCCAATCACTGAGGTGCAGAAGGTCTGGGAGAAGGAAACAGTACAATCACAGATGGATTTTGGGAAAACAGCCTTACAACAAGACCCAGACTATCTGAGCTACCACGAGTATTCTGCAGAGTCAAAGAGCTGCTGGGTTCCTTTTAGGCTTCTAACACAGAAATAAAAAAAAGGGTAAGAGGAAGACCAAAAGCAAGATGGACTGACTCTCTAAAGGAAACGACAGGGATGAGTTTCCAAGAGCTGAGCAGGGCTGTTGAGGGCGGGACATTTTGGAGATCGCTCATACATAGAGGTGCAATAAGTCGGAAGCGACTTCATGGCACAGAACAAGAACAACAACCCCAGACCTGAGTCACCTCTCCAATTTAGCCTCATCCACAATTTGAACAAATATTTGCCAAACCCTGTTATTTTGCCTACATTTATCTGAGCTGAACCCTTCCACCTTTCCACTCTCCCTGGGAGGCTCAGCCCCATAAGGGACAGAAACTTCGCATAAATGACACATTTATATTGGTGCTCCAATTTCCCCTAAACCAAAACCCTGTTGGTGCCGTGCACACACGGGCAGCTGAGAAATAAGTCAAAATACTATGTCGTGTCAACACAGCCCTCTTCATGGGCTCCAAAGAAACCCCAAACTCAGCTCCAGCCTAAAGAAAACCCACTTCCTCTTTCCCTTCCTCTGTGTTTCAAGCAAAACTTGAACCCAGCACCACGGAGAAGGGCATGAAATCTTCTCTTTCACCCAGCTCTGCCCTCTCCCCCCTCGAAGGCACAGCCGCTGAGCGTGGCTTGCTTACCTCGAAGCAAAAATCCTGCCCGAGGATGCTGCTGTGGACGGGCTTAATGATCACCTCCTCCTCCATGCTGAGATCGAGGGCCTCGACGGCGCTACTAGGGCTGAGCAGGGACTCGTGGGAGCGCGATTCTTTCAGCCTCGGCATTAGATGGGATCTGGAGGGAAGGAAGGAGACAGGATCAGCCTCGAGCGAGTGAGCAAGCAATCTCTGGGTGGGCAGAGACCGTGCCTTTTGGGCCTTTCTTTCCTCGCCATTCACAATTTCAGAATCCTCAATCACGTCAACACTCTATCACAGACACTGAGAGATCCCGTAAACAGAAGACAACAACAATACTCCATTTCTTGTTGAGTCTCTCCCACGCTGTGCTGCCGTCTGCATTTGCTCAAAGTCACTCTTGTTTATGTTGCTATTACATTCTATTTATTTGTCCCAAAGGTTGGTTTTTCCCCCCACAGATGCATTAAAAACGTCGCACAGAAAAATCTAAACGGCTGTAAGCAGTGACTCAACCAAATCAAGTCAAAAAGACACACCATATTTCATGAAACAAACCTGCTCCAGAAATGGGGGTGGATGACCTACAAAATTCTGAATGAAGGAATGAAGGAGTAAATAAAAGAATAAAAGACTAACAATACCGGCGGCTACAGGTCAAAATTTATTTTATTCTTTGTTTGATAAGCGTATGACTCTTTCCTTTACCTCTGAGAGCAAACTACCCCTTTCAGACCATCTAGCCAAATCTGAAAACCAACCTACCAACGCACCTGGAACGCAACAACAGATACTAAAGGCCAAGAATGGCCAATTCTTTGATTCTTGCTAATGAGACAGACTGGCTAATTACTAATGACACAGAAAGACAATTGGCGACAAGAAGAGACAAAAAGGTACATATCTCTTGTTGCACTAAGCCCCCCAAGGTGGAGGTTCGTGACCTGCGGGCCAGGATGGGGGGGTATGCTAGCTAATCTCTACGGTGGCCCAAGGAGAGAAAAAGAAGGTGGTGGAGGTGGTGATAAGAGATAATAGGGTGGGTAGTGGAGTAAACCGTGTGAAACTTAGAAGTTCAGGTGTTGGGGCCAGAGTGACCAGAGCACCTTCCCTGAAATCTCATTAGGAAGCAGGAGAGGAAGGAAATGAAAATATGGTGGCGGGAAGCGAGGGAGGAAGGAGGAAGGGTGAACGGAATGGGTAGATCTGCCAGCACTCCCCGTGCACGGCCCCATTAGACTGGAGCTTTTACAACAAAACAGCCTTTTCCTCCTTGCCCCAAGGCAGGGCAAAGTTTGCAAGGCCTAGGGCTTGCACCCGGTCCGTATACGTGCATCAGTAGCAGGTACCAGATTGTGAGGAAAACCTTTATCTGCCTAACACTCTCACTCAGACAAGCATCCTAATCCTGTACATTTTATGGCTTCAAACTGGAACAGTTCTGTTTCTAAAAACTTGATCCATCTTTGAAATCCTGCCCCCGTCTCCCCTCGCAACGTCCTTTAGGCTCCAAAGAAACTCGAGTAAGACGATCTGTTGCCACTTGGATGCAGAGGGAGAAGGTCCGGAAGTCCCTCCCTGGGGTTTCCGTCCACTTCCACCTACCAGGGAAGGAAACTGCCTTCAAAAACACCCCTCCCCTTGCCTCCTAGATTCCAGGAAACAATTATGGGAATCCAGAGCCATCCAGACAACAATGGGGCAGAGGAAGAACGGGCATTGTTGAAGTCTCAAGTTTTGTTTTGCAGGGAACAACACACACAAACACACACATACACACACACACACACACACTTGGGGTGTAGAGGAAGGGAAGGGAAGTCACCCTCAATAAAGTCAGCACTGGGTTCACAAGGCCATCTGATGCCTGCAAGTCAGCAAAAGTTTCTAATAGTCATCTATTGCTTGCTTGCTTACTTGCTTGCTTGCTTGCTTGCTTATTCATTCATTCATTCATTCATTCATTCATTCATTCATTCATTCATTCATTCTGCTTTTCTCTTTAAAAGGGACTCATTGCTACCTCTAGTGGCGGTGAGTTCCACAGCTTAACCATGGGTTTCTAAACGTAATTATCTTTTGCTTTAGAACAGGACGCACCATCTCTCAAAACACAGCTCAGCAACTGGTAAACCTGCTAAATTTCTCCAGACTGCGATCCCCACCAACTCCAAACAACAGAACCTACGGTAAAGAACAGTGGGAGATGCCCTTGGGAAACACCGGGTGGGTCATTAATGGCCCGGCCTGGCCCCAGAGAAACCCAGGGGCTTTGGGCTGGCACATCAAGGCGGTTTTCAAACTGCAGTTCCTCAGGCCTTGGAAACCCAGGAACGGGAGGGATTTTGTGGCTGCTGCTCCTCTCCCAGAGGGTGGGAAGTCCAGATTCTCCTCTTCTGCCCCTCTTCTTCCTCCCTTCTCCCTTCTGCCCCCCCCAGGCCTCACCAAAAGGGAGGTCCCACACCCAAGCAGCTGCATCAACTCTCAAGGCACATCTGCTGCAGGAGACCTGGGGCTAGGCTGGGCCTCTCTATGCTGGAAGCTTGCTCCAAAGCAAAGCAAAGCAAAGCAAAGCAAAGCAAAAAAGCAAAGCAAAGCAGCCCCCCTACAACTCTCAGCCGCCTGGCTTTCCCCTCTTCGCCCATCCCATCCTGCCTTTTTCTGCTCAGAGTCTGCAAGGACGCCTGGCCAGGTCTGGCGATTGGTTCCTCTGTAGCTGGGGAAGAGCGGAGACACACATCAGCTGGAAATGTCAACATGACGCTGGTTGGCTCACAAACCGGAGAGAGAGGGAGAGAGAAGGAGAGGGAGTTCTGGCTGAGCTGGCCGGCCACTCTCCCAACCCCACGTGGTTCATGGATCTGCAAAAAGGGACACTTTCTCCCTCGAGTGCCGGGAGCTGCTGAAGCGAGAGAAAGCCTCACCAAAGAAAGGATGCGGGGTGGGTATGGCAGTGGCAACCCTTCAGAACAGATTGCAAAGGATCTCTCCAAATGGACCTCTGAAGATGCCAGCCACAGAGATGGGCGAAACGTCAGGAAGAACAACCTTCAGAATACGGCCAAAGAGCCCGAAAAACCCACAACAATCATCAGATCCTGGCAGTGATAGCCTTCAATAATACATTGATCTCTCCAAAAACCATCAGATCCTGGCCATGATAGCCTTCAAGAATACATTGATCGTCGTGAAGTGGGGGGAAGGAACAAGGATAAAGGCAAGCATACAGTGACATTCACTGAGGTGGGGGCTCTATTTGTATATGTATGGAGATGGGACTGGATTGAAGATGATTATGTACACACTGGCAAAAAAAGAGAGAGAAAGGCCACTGGTTTGTACAAAACTGTACAGTCGTGCCGTGCTTAACGATTGCCTCGCTTAACGAGGAAATCACTGTACGATTAGGTTTTTGTGATCGCTTTTGCGATCGCAAAACTATGGTTTAAATGGGTTTTTTTCATTTAATGATGATTGGTTCCCTGCTTCGGGAACCGATTTTCGCTTTACGATGATCAGCGAACAGCTGATCGTCGGATTTCAAAATGGCCGCCGGCTGAAGAAAATGGCCCCTCGCTGTTTTCTAGGACGGATTCCTCGCTTTACAGGCACCGAAAAGGGCCGCCGTATGGAGGATCTTCGCTGGACGAGCAGGTATTCAGCCCATTGGAACACACTGAACGGTTTTCAATGCGTTTCAATGGGTTTTTTATTTCGCTTGACGATGTTTTCGCTCTACAGCGATTTCGCTGAAATGAATTAACATTGTCAAGCGAGACACCACTGTACTTGCTAATTTATAGGTACAGATGCAAAACCAGAAATGATTTCAACAGAATGGCACTGGTTCTCCCCCAGGTCACTGGTCTCATCACCCCCTGGCAAATAGAAGGGGAAGATACGGAGGCAGTGACAGATTTTACTTTCTTGGGCTCCATGATCACTGCAGATAGGGACAGCAGCCACGAAATTAAAAGACGCCTGCTTCTTGGAAGGAAAGCGATGACAAACCTAGACAGTATCTTAAAAAGCAGAGACCTCACCTTGCCAACAAAAGTCTGCATAGTCAAAGCTATGGTTTTTCCAGGAGCGATGTATGGAAGTGAGAGTTGGACCATAAAGAAAACTGACCACCGAAGAATTGATGCTTTTGAATTGTGGTGCTAGAGGATGCTCTTGAGAGTCCCCTGGACTGCAAGGAGAACAAACCTATCCATTCTGAAGGAAATCAACCCTGAGTGCTCACTGGAAGGACAGATCCTGAAGCTGAGGCTCCAGTACTTTGGCCATCTAATGAGAAGAGAAGACTCCCTGGAAAAGACCCTGATGTTGGGAAAGTGTGAAGGCAAGAAGAGAAGGGGACGACAGAGGATGAGATGGTCGGACAGTGTCATCGAGGGTATCAACATGAATTTGACCAAACTCTGGGAGGCAGTACAAGACAGGAGGGCCTGGCATGCTCTGGTCCATGGGGTCACGAAGAGTCGGACACGACTTAACCACTAAACAACAACAACAAAACAACAAAAGGGTGCAGTCCCTCGCTGAAATCGCTTTTTTCCAAAAAATGGGATTAGGCCAATTCATAGAAGGAATATCAGAAGCAATTTGCTAAAAATGGATTTACTGTGGATACCTCTGCTGCTCCAGCCTTCCAAAGACTCTGCTTGGGATGCCACAGTGATGCTGCTCCCTCCCTCCCTCCTTCCCCCCCTCTCTCTCACACACACTCATACTTTTATAATTATCCAAAGCACCAGTCTTCATTTCAGCCTCACTGAAGGATTTCAATCCCCCTGGAAGCTACCTATTTCATAATGAAATTGGAGCCTGTGCGTTTGCCGAGTTATATAGCATGCGGCTATAACTAGAAACTACATATGCAGAGCGGTTTAGGAGATTACAGTGGATGGCGGAACTGAAATGTTGATTGGATGGACGGGGTTTTTTCGCCCTCTCCAAGCCTCTCATTTTGAATCCGGCCACTGCTTCGGAGGGCTCTCGAGGCCTCAGCCTGGCTCCCCCTCCCCATCATCCTTCCTCTCAGCTGCAAAACCTTGCCCTGACACCAGCGCTTTCCCAGGGCTTAATGAGAGACCTGGGGTTTCCCAAAAAAGAACGGCATCTCTGAAAGAATCCAGGCCCAGGGAGGGGTTG